AGCATACAATGTAACTGCATTATTTATACAGCATATATGAAAAATGTATCCCAAAATACTTTCCAGAGTATCTGGAATAAATTGCAAAAGAATACTTATCATGGTACAAATGTAGTCATACAATTGACTTAGATTTAATGCACTTTCTGGGACCTATCTATATGGTTTTTATTGATGTTTACAGAAATTTTACTAGTTTCTAATGTTACAGAACTAATTAACCCAATCTCAGATTGACAAAATTTATACTGAATTGTTACAGTCTTTTCAGCCAGATTTATTATTATCTATGCTAATTTACATAGCTGCTGATTTGACTGGAAAGCTCTACATTTTCATGTAACTCAATTATGTAAATACTGTTCCTCTCTTTCACAGTCACCAAATGTAGACCAGTAGTCCAATCAAATGATGGTCATCCAGCTCATTGCATGTCAAAATGCTCTTAAAATATAGCATAGACTTCAATCCTTATTTGGTTTAGAAAAAAAATAAATTCATCAAATAGTCAAGACTAAATCCACACAGAAAACTTTTACAGGAAAAATTCAATGCCTTGCTGCAGTCTTGGAAGTCTTGAACAAATGATCATCATTTTGCAAGTCAGAGTTAAAATAGCTTGCAGTATTTTCAGAGGAGATCCTCAGAACTATACATAAAAAGTAGAAGGAACTTCCTTTCGAAATCCGTGTTAAAACAGCATTTTGATACTTCATCCTGCCCTCTCCTAACATTCACTGAGCACCTCACAGTCATCAGGTTCTGTTTTCTGAATTGTGGCCAAAAGCAGAGGCATAAAGTATTTTTACTTATTTAAACTTGTCAGTTAACATTTTTACAACAACATGCATTTCCTTTTATCTATAAATGCCGCCTTCATCCATTCATCTTAAGTTTTAAGGTAACTTTCACAAACCACGGTTCAGAATTTAAAATCCTGAAATATAGGGGGACTGTTTGGGCACAAAAAAATGCTAAAAGGAATTATGTAATGAACTAAAGCTGCATCCCTAATGGCCATTAATACGGCCAGTTGGTGTTAGTTTTTAGTGTCTTTCTCTTGAGAAACAGATGCTGTCCAGGTATTTGCTGTTACCGGCCACTAGAGGGAGGTATGATTACAGAAGTACAAAGCTTATCCCTGAAATTTGAGGTGGGTCATTACCCCATCATCTTTTGGGTTCATCAACATACACTTCCAATTTAAATGTTTTCTCATTTACAGTTTCACGTCATGGTCTTAGTTCATAACCATTATTCATTTAGTTTTTGATCAAATTAACTGTTATTTGGAAACTTTGGTCAGCAAATTCAGTCTCCCAAATTCACTCAGGCATCAAAACTTCATTCAATCAAAAATACCCTACACACAGTGAAGACTAGAGCTTCTCAGTGTGTCAGCTGTTTCCATGTCTTTGGTATTCAGGTACAAGACAATTCCTCTGCTTTGCATAGTGAGAGGGTGCTTTGTCTGAGGACTGTTTTCATAGGGAGCAGACTTCAAGCCTTTTCCCACTCTAGAGGTTTTGCACTTCGTCTCTGGGAGAAGCTATTTAAGCAAATGTGTGGTATTATGCCTGTTTACTAATGTGACAGCTGGAGGGCTTTCTTTGCCCTTTTGATATCTCTGAGATCTCTTGCACGCCCTCATCACATGCAAAGTAAACAGAGTCTCCTTTTGGAGCTATTAAAACTAATGATGTATTTTTTAATTATTCTTTTTAAAAGAAAGGTTGAGCAGCTGTTAATGTTTGCAACTTCTATACCAGTGAAGATTACAGGCTTCCTTCACACAGTAGATAATTTACCTTTTTGTTAATGGCTTTGATTGCAATTATTTCTTGAATTTTGTGCCTAATACAGTCCATAATAGTGTGTTTGACTTTTTAGAAAGAATGACCATTTTAAGTTCTCAGGAGTTAAACAGGTTGCGAGGAAAAAAAAAAAATCTTTTGTGCAAACAGAGGATGATCTGAGCACAAAAGCTGGAAAAGCTTCAGCTTTTTATTTTTTTCTGTATATGCTTTGATTATATCAAGCAATTCATGTTCCAAAACAGGCTTCTTCAGCAGTTAAAGAGCACAGCTACAGAATAAACAAAGTTCTCTAACAAATTCAGAAACGCATGAAATAACGCAGGAATAAGATTTGGATTATGAGGTCAATATTATTATTTTAAATACAACTCTACTGAGTATACTTACTTTGAACAGACAGTACTGAATTTAAGAACTTGCATTAGACTGGAGATAAAAGCAATCACTTTGTAAAGCCCTGTGGCAAGGCGAGAACCTCCTGGGATTGACATTCAATGCAAGAACAATATTAATCATACAAAATGCAAGTTGTTTGTTTTCTATAGCAGTTACAGTAAGAAGAAAAAATACCCTTCGTTCATGTTAGTAGAATGACAAGAAAATATTCATAATTCATTTTAGTTCATCAAGACTGGGAGATCAAAACAAGATGTAAAAAAATACCCTATATATATATATTTAAATAAGTGCTTTGGGAAAAACAAAACAAGAAAAAAAGAAAAAAAAAAAGAAAAAAGAGCACTCAGAAATCTAAACCCTGATTCAGGATTGCTATTTGCTGTAGGAATTGCAGGGACTGCTGCAGGTTGCTGTAGGCAAAACCGAAAATTCTTTCCTCTAACGGAAAAGTAAATTTAAAAAGTGACAAGGATTTTCCTACACAATTACTATTGAATGTATCACCAACAGTCACATTATCCCATGACTGAGGAAGGGCAAGCCAGTGCCTCAGTCCAACAAAGCAAAATCCATTATAATCAGCTCTGTCGCTTACTGTTTTAAGCAACAATCACGACATTCATCTGCATGCATTGAGGGAATTGTTTGAAAGAGCCCAGTTGCATCTCTCCTTCCCAGCAAGAGCACTGGTTACAAGTGAACTTCTTCCAGGTGAACAGAGCCCTCAAATATACCAGTTTTCTATGACAGGCGTGAACAACCCTCACACTTTGTACACAGACAAAGGGGGAGCTTTCAGACTAATGCCCTCTGCCAGCATAGTTTCAGATACTGCTTCTAGTAGTATTGATAAGAAAATATATTAAGAGCTTCATTGCACAAACAGTATTACAACACAATTGAAGAAAAAAAACCTGTACAGCTATACAACTCCTTCCTTACAGGCATTTGAAATGACATATTGCACTAGACAGCTTCTAAAGAAGCAATATTGACTGCTGTTTCACTCGCCCTGCTTCTTCCATATCCCCCTTACAGTTAATGTCAGTAGTAACTTCAGATACGAAGTTACCAAAAAGCTGCTTTCAGGATAAATTTAGCAAGACTCCATGCTGCTGTTCTTCTCTATGACTTGATAAAAATTTATCTAATCAAGCTGCAAAGGCGCAAGATATTTGCTTGTATTTGGAAAGCATGTTGACTTGAATGCTCAAGATGTACTGTTCTTTGTGTTAAATTCCAACACTCTCTTGAATGGGGTGTATGTCCTCACCGGCCTTGCACTTTCAGGAGATCTTCTGTTCTCAGTACTTGTACTGTTAAGGAGACAAGAAAAAGCTTACAAAGTTAATGTCAGAGTATCAGACAGCTGGGCTGGAAATGCCATGGCAATGAACTTGTGCCTTGTTACCGATATTGACAGGCTAAAATTAAACTATTAATTGTATTTGACATGTTCTATATTTCTTTTCTATACTGCCACAATGAATATTTGATAAAAACCGTGGCAGATATTGACAAGTTTACATGCAGGCATCTGCTGGAGCTCATATTGGAACGTCCAGCAATACAGCTGCTAGGACTGAGGATCCTGCAACAATAAAGACAGCAATATTACATTTAAGAACACAACTAATTGTGCAGAGTAATTCCATAAAATCTAAACTGTATAGAGGGTAAATTTTGGCATAGAGATAAATCTCAAAAATAGGAAAAATACCAGATAACTAGGGGCTGTGGTTACATACAGAGAAGCCCCAGAGAGGACAACAAAGATAGCTTCCTGTTGGCACTCTGAGTGAAAACCACCATTTTTTATGTTTCAAAAGTCATGCCATTAAAATGTGCTCTAGGCTGAACACTGAAATGAGTGTATTTTTAAATTGGGAAGGAAATTTTAGTATGTATTGCAGCTTGCTGATTTCATATGCTAATTTACGTGCCTCAAATGTAATTATTCAATTTGCAGGGTAGTTAAGATGAACAAGTTTATTTGTTGGTCATAAAAGTAATGTGCAATGGGGCCCTTCTTACCTTCCTATTTTGGTTTCTGTTTTGCCCTTCCCTGTGGTGACGTGGGGGGAAGATTCAAGCGCAAGCCTTGCTCCCAGGGGTCAGTGCCACCCTGTTGCAGTGTTCAGGGCAGAGAAAGGGGATGCACTATACCTGGATCTTCACAAAGCCAGGTTACAGAGCCACTGGCCAAGGCAGATCAGAGACAACCATTCCAGTGCAGGAGTGCTAATGTTGCTGTGCTGTTTACTTGGCAATCTTCCACAGAGGGCTAGGGTGTCTCCAGAAGTTGCTGCAGCCCTAAACTGTTACTGTCAGTGTTACCTGCCCTTTAAAATGGTCCTGGACACATCTCCCGGAATGCAAAGAATAAAGCATGCATGAAGCCAACATTAACAAGCCTCAGGGCAGAGCTATCCATTGTCTTCTGCTGCACTGCCAGCGGGCACATTTCATCAATATTTCCCGTATTTCACAAAGTCAGATCTCTTGTTTTCTAACTTTACTCCCTGCTTAAATCATGTTGCTGTAAATAAGTACTCCCCAAAGGTTTGCAATATGTTTGCATCTTTTAAAAAAAAAAAAAAAATCCTACTCCATAAGTCATTGAAGTACACTACATGTAGTAGATGTGCTCTTTTAAACTTAGGAAAAATTTGCAAAACTCCACAATCCACTCCAGCAGTTTATTAGCACAATGGTTTACTAATACAGCACCAATAAGTGACATTATGAAGAAGTTTCCTGTGAACAAGCAGAAAAAGTAAATACCTGTATGGAAGATCACATCCTACACCAGTATCTCTGGTTTCTATATTGGTCTTTGGTTGGTTTTCCATTAAGTAGTCCAATTTATCTTGTAATTCTTTATTCTGGAAAACAGTAATTTTCACCAGAAGTTTCTCTTATTTAAATTATGTTAATTAAACAAGGAAATAAAATTGCATATTGGCTTCTCTCCACAAGAAATAATGTAAAAGTATTTATTAAGAAAATAAAGGAATCCTTACTTCTGGGAAAAAGAAATTAAGTAAAGCCAACAGCTTTATTCAGAAGCTTCTGTTTTAAGTAATTGCAATACTGTTACAAAATTGTATGCCAAGAAACTTAGCATGAATATTGAGACTTTGTATTACATACATTCATGATGTGACTGCTGCCTGGTTTGATTTCCATACTGAAGAACAGCAAATACATATAGTAAATATGCATCCAGATAACATCAGGTGACATTGGTTCAAATTTATTTGGTTTCATAAAACAATCACAATAATATAAATTTAAAAGGTAATGCCTTACCTCACATTCTAAGAAAGAGATTTTTTCTAAAAGCTGTATTATAAATAATTCCTTTTCTTTTACTTTTTTCCTTAGCATTTCAATCTATGAAGAAAAATAAAACAAAGATATTTAATCTAATGGGGATGGGAAAAGGAGGAAAAAGACCTAGAGGCTACAGGAAGAAAACATGTTTAATTTTATTGTTCAGCAGCAATCAAGTACGTACACATATTCACAAAATGCTTTAATCCACGGATTAGCTATCATCCCATACAATTAGGATCATTTATATAAAGATGATACATATGTACTAACATGGCTTTTAAGTATTTGTGTTTTTCTGGAAAGAGAACGGAAATTCAAACATCGTCATGTAACAAAGCAAACTAGGGAAAACTCCATCTTTGATTCAAAGGCCTTTGCTCTAATCAATCTTAACTACACCCCAAAATACGTTCCATATTTGCTAGTTTCTTGAAGGTCTTATTTGTTCAGTTATTTCCTGGCATACCAGACTCCTTGGAAAAAAGTGCATTTTCATTTTATACCTAGGGAATGGAAAGAAGTTTTTTACAAATGTTCATTAAAATTAAAGTTAGCTGCACCAGAAGTATTGCATCTTAATACTGTTCATTATGGAACAGAAGACAATCTTTCTTATATTCTGGGATTTCTGCTCGTCACAGAGCCCTACAAGAACTTTTGCATTAAATCTTTCCCTGCTGCCAGCACAAGCCGTTATGACCCAGATTTCATACCAGCCCCTTGCTGCAGGCCCAAAGTTGTTGTGATTGTGTGGAATTGGAAATGGGTTTCTAAAGCTCCTAAAGCCAGTTTTCCTTTTCTACTCTTCTGAAGCCTTTGCTTAAAGCAAGATTTGCCGTGTGAGGTTCGTACGCTTATCAGCAATAGCCTAAGAGACCTGTTGACTGGCACAGAGGTCAGTTCCTTCCAGTTTACCGCATTTAGGACACAATAGCATCTTGTGCAAACAAACTGGATTTTCTCCTCGGACCAAAGGAAAAGTCACTTGTTATTCTCTCTCAACCGCTGCTGACTACACCTACTAAAATAGCGACTAATAAGAGCAGCAAACCAAAACAATACCTAAATAACAACTTCAGTTGTTGCTGCTTCCCCAGAAGGCAGTTCAGGTGTAGACACACACCACTTAACAAGCACAGAAGACAAAGTGCTTCCTATCTCTAGTTACAGGTGACTTCAGATGCAGAAAGCAGTGTTAAAAATATTTCTAAGGAGAATCGTCAGAAGTGCACTGAAAGATCAGGTTGAGGGAGAAAAGAGATTCTGCATCATGTTTGCATGCAGGTAGGAACTGGGAGAAGATTGATTTCCCACTGTGCTCTGTGCTCATGCAAGTCTTGTCCTACAGCAACAGCAATGAAAGCTGGTAGCAGTGGATACTCTTTTTGCTCTCACAAATGTACAAATAGATTTAGTGTAAGTTAAACTTTTATTTGTTTATGCTTCACATTGGCTACAGAGACACAAAATCCCTAAGCATGCTTTTGAGTTATTTTGTGTGTGTGTGAGAATCCTCTAAGGACTGGCAGACTGAACCATATACAACAGCACTCCCTGCCTCATTTTAACATGTTTACATAGCACCAGTCAGAACCCATTAAATCAATCTACTTTGTCCCTCTGAAAAATTATGTCAGAATTTTAAAATACGCCTTCTCTCCTACAGTATGAAGAAAAGACAACGTGGTACTATATCATCACATGCACAAAGTCTTAGTCCAGCAGTAAAACAGAATGGAATGATTAGACCATGCAGATTACAGATACGATAAGGCTATGAATCTGGCAACTTACATAAAGCCTTTTGGTGTATCTTTAGAACATTATGAACTCAGAGACACAGCCACACAGAGCAATACATTCCAGGAGAAATAAATTCAGCAGTGGCTAAAATGAGAGAGACTGTTTCGGCACCAGGAAAAAGGTCCTGCAGTCCCTGCTCCCCAGATGCAGCAGAGCTACCCTTTGAGGCTGCTGCAGAGGGAAAGGAGGGCCAGAATGTAGCAGGGCACCCGTGTTGCTTCATACAGGCAGGCTGCACCCCCAGACACGTGGCCAGCTAGTTGTCTCAGCAGCTACTACAGTCCAAAGGCTGAAACAACTTTGAAAGTTATGACACACCTTTAACCTACCCCCAGGCCTGACATAGATGACACATCCCACCACAGCAGTTTACTACAAAAAGGTTTATTTACTGAGTAAGGACCTGAGTACACATCATCTTATGCAATTAGCACCAGAAGTGAGCGAACATGATTTGATTAACCCTTGAGGGGATATATCACAGGAAACCAGGAAAAACAGGAATAACTTTAGGGGTTTATATTAATATATTACTATATTAAATAAAATGCAGTCTTAATACATTTAAATGAGTCACATTGCATAAAATAAAAGTGATGGTTTCCTTTGAGAGAGGAATGTAACAAGAACACTGGGTCATAATGCTGATATTGGGTAAAAGCACTTCAAAAATAAAATTCATGCCTTGCTACCTAATGCCATTTTGGTTTTTCCATAAAAATGTTACTTATGGCAAACTAAAATAAGATGGTAATACTTCCAGCACCATAAATCTGTATTGCACAAACCCAAGTCTTGAGAGCACCTTTGTTTCAAGGACTTGCATAAAGCAAGAGAAGAACTAGCAGGTGACAGAGCAGTCTTTGACTTTTGGATGAATATAAGGTAAGGAGAATGACAGGAGAAGCAAGATAGGTCAAACACAATACTGAACTGAGGGCCCAAGTGGTGGCCGGAATTGTCTAGAGTCAGAAACAAATCAGTGCGAGCCAAAGACTCTCAACTTCCACAGACTGACTCTTGGATCCGAGTCACTTCTGGACTGACTCAAGGACAAAATTATTACCAAGATGTTCCTACATTTTCTTTGTTTAATGCCCAAGGTTATATATTATAATCTACCTCATCCTTGCTGTGTCTGCAGACTTTAGCATTTCAGCTCACCATCAACTCAGCAACTTGCTCCCAAATCTGGCTTTTGCACAGCTACCCTCTCAAATTTCTCCATCATTTTCTACAAGCACTATTCAGTACATCCTTCAGCCTCCCCTCTTCCAGCCTTCTAAGCACCCAGACAGACTTTCCCTAGCACTTACCTCTTGACCTGACTTGAATTGTTAGACTGACTAGCTGTTCTTTTCCCTCCACGTTTCTATCAGTATTTTTACAACCTTCATGTCCACATTAAGCAGTCAAACAAAACTGGCAACCTACTTAGCAATATCATTAATGACCCAATTAATGACTCACTCATTCTTTTCAAAACAATTCAGCTAACAGTAAAAATGTGAATTTACCAACCCTGGGCCACACCATCACCCCTTTTTCCTATCACTTCATTCTTTCTTACCTCCTCCACCCCACTGTATTCATTGTTCCTGCTTTCCCTTGTCCTGTTGGGAGACATCTGACTATTCCAAAACTGGGAAGGGAAGTGCTACAAGGCCCAAGGTACACTTTGCAATTTATCTGGTCTGCCAGCAACTAAGGGGCATCATGTGCTCTTAAGCCATCCCAGGGATTGGGGAGCAGAGCACATTCTCCCCAGTGCTGTAAAAGCTAGGAGAGATGAACTCCCTGGCTCACTCAGTACACGCATGCTGCTCAGGAGCGCTGGGTCTAGCAACAGGCCAACACAGCGGGGTGCATGTGAACTCAGTCCTTCAGCCACCAATCCCCGGCATTGGGTTGTTGGGCACAGGAAGAGCAGTGCTTACGCCAGTAAAGGACTTTTCAGCTTCCCATGCTCTGCCAGGTGCACAAGAAGCTGGGAGGGGACACAGCCAAGACAGCTGACCCCAACTGGCCACAGGGCTATTCCATACCATGTGATGTCATGCTCAGTATATAAACTGAGGGGAGTTGGTCGGGGGGCAGTGACCACTGCTTGGGAACTGGCTAGGCATTGATCAGCAGGTGGTGAGCAATTGCACTGTGCATCACTTGTTTTGTATATTCTTTTATCAACATTATTATTTTCCCTTCCTTTTCTGTCCTGCTAAACTGTCTTCATCTCAACCCACAAATTTCACTTTTTTCCTCCCAATTCTCTCCCCCATCCCACTGGGGAGGGGAGGAATAAATTAACGGCTGTGTAGTGTTTAGCTGACTGCTAAACATATACCCAAACCACATACTCAAACCACACAACACATACCCACTGCAATTTCTAATGATCTGAATCAGCACGTAAGGCCCCACATACAATGTGAATCATCCTGAATTTATCCACTAGCTCAGGATTAGTATGGACACAGCACTTCTTTTCAAGCTCTCTCCTCCTCGATTCACTCCTGTTGCTGTTACCACCTCTATGCTTTTGCCTCCTTCTGAAACCTTGAGGTTATTTCTCTCAAACTCCCTAAGCCTCCAGATTGTCACTTTATCTTGCAGCAGCTCCCAGAAAATTCAGTTGTTCTTGTCCATCCCGTCAATGAAGATCCATTTCTTTCTCACTACTGCACCTTAAAGAGTCTCCAATACATCTCCTCAAGTACTAAACAAAATTGTCATGCTACTTGAATGGACTGTCTAAATACTTTCTAGGAAGGGCTGCCCTTCTGAATTTCTCTTGCTCCACCAAGCGACTAAACTTCTCTTAGTAAAATGGAAAACTAGATGTATTAGTCAACAGCATTAAATTGATCTCATGGATAGCACATCTAAGAAGAACAGTCAAGAGGAGAATCACAACACCGAAAAGAGAGTCTCTAAAGAAACGCTGGAGATGTGAACAGTGATATTAGAAGGAAAGTCAAGAGAATTATGAAGTAATTAAAGCAGGAAAAAGCATCTTAAGAGAGAACTAAAGTTGTGTCCAATTGTAGAGCCTTTATAAAGAAAGTCTGAAGTAGCAAACTTTATTTTATCCTGTGTACTCAGACACAGTTCTGGAGGCCTGAAATATATAGTGATCTATCAGATTATAACAGATCCAGCTGTTAGGTAAACTCAGTCAACATTACCACTTGATATTATCATCCATTAATTTAAAATATTTATCAGAACATGACAGTGTTAATATATTTAAGTAT